GTTATAAATGAGAAGGTTTAATGATGAGATTATGATTTGACGCCGGGAAAACGAAGTATGTGCTCGGAGAAGCACCTTTCTCAGTGCCTCTTTATCCTCTGAGGTTGAAAGCTGAGGCACGGCTGTTAATGTGACCAAAAACGGACATGTATTCTTCTCTCCTGTCAGTCGAATCACGATGTAAATAAAGCACACCGAGAAGTAAATGTACCTGTGTTTAAACGAATGAGTACGGTCCTCTGTGGTGTCCCTTTGTTAAACGACATCATTTTATCTCGTTTTATACCGTTGAGGAATTTAATTGCAATTCCACCTCGTCATTTGAAGCATACTGCCTCACTGATGCATTTCATCCGTGTGAGGAATAATTGATTACGTAGTCGAAACACTTTTCCTTCACCATTCGTAACAAAGTATACCGAGTTGGAAATTGTCTCACGAAATCTAAAACGAGGCCATGAATTTAAAACAGCTTTCATCCGAAGTGTGATCCAAATGCAGTAGAGAAGAATGGAGAGGGGAGAAATAAATATCGCGTAAAATGTTCTACAATATTTTTAATAACGTTTGTGTTTTGTTAGAAATAGCCACGTTCGTGTGATGCGCCACCAGGTAGGCCCAGGAAAGCAAAGGTGCATTGGAATTTGATGGGACACGTCAGATGGTGGTCATGATAAAGAAAAGTGTAGAAGCTCTTATCAGACGCTAGTAAGGAAATTGGTCTGGAAATAAAGGCAGAGAAAATTGCATGGTCCTGTACTGATGCTTCGTCATTATTAGACTGGGAGACAAAATCATCATAGCAAGTAACAGGTCCTATAAAATCCATATTTAAAACATTTGTGAACCGACGATAATAATACAAATTACAATCGTTTAAAAATTATGAGCAGATTAAATTCGCGGGCGGAACGCGTACTATCATGCCGTTCAGAAACTTTGATATTCCCTTTTGCTGTTATGCACTTGATTGAAGTACACGGATTTATAATATTCTTGTTTGTTGTTTTAGACGGGCGTAGAACCCGTGTATCACATTGTAGGAACACAAATTAAGGGTGTAGGATGTTGATCTTATGGGTTGTAACGCTGTGTGGACTTGTCGATAGGTTGAACTGTTTCGGAGAATCATAGTGTCTCCAAACCCTGAAGACCATCTTTAACATCTTGAAAACCTCGAATCCCGTAGATTAAGGGTGTTTGTGAACAGAGTGCTAAGTATAACACGTGTATGTAAGAGGTATGAAGTGACAGGCGATTATAAGAAGGACGAGGACCTTCATAATTTGTACTTGAACGAAGACTTTAATTTTGTCGAGTTCTGACCTTAGTAATGCGATTGCTTGTTGTGTAGGAAATGAGCGCTTGTAGGTTAAGTTGACACGGATTTTGGAAGCACGAAATCTCGTTAATTTTCTCTCGGAATAAGTGACAGTATCAAAGAAGGATTCATTAGATCAATTATTATCCACACATCGAGTAAGTTCTGTGTGTATGCTCCTAATGCTTGCCATTTGCCTCATGCTTCATGTAATTAACAGAGGCTAGAGAAAATTACATAATGAGGAGTTTCATAACGTGTTCTCTTCACTAAATAGCATTAGAGTGATGAAATCAAGGAGGACAAGACAGATGAGACATGCAATTTTCACGGGGGAGACGAGATGTGCGTGCAGAATTTTAGAAAATGGACCGCTTGCGAGATTAATCACATGTACATAATATTTAAGTGGATAGAGTGTAAGGTTCTGGACCCGCCCGATTCATCTGGCCCAGGACAGAGGTAGTTCTCTTGATCGTGTGAGCGCGAGACTGTTTGCTCCTCAGAAATGACTCTCCTACATGAAATTAATTTCTTGCTTCAGATTATGGATCTGAAATGTTTAGTTGTTGCCGCCACAGCTCAGGGACGAGATTAACGAATACGAAACAGGAGTGACAACCACTGGACTACGAAGTTCGGACTAGAAATTTCCTGACACTACAAAGAAATATTATCACGTGCTGCACCAGGTGGCCTTTCTTTCCCTTATTTCTGAGTTTAATTTAGTTTGAATTCTGTAACGTGTGGAATCTTAATTTGTACAGGAAGGCGGGTCGACACAATTCACAATTCTCAGTCCAAATGATGGGAATGTCTCTCTCTCTCTCTCTCTCTCTCTCTCTCTCTCTCTCTATCTCTGTCTGTCTGTCTGTCTGGATAAGTGAATCAGTGCACGAAATTTCTTCATTTGGATATTCAGCAAGTACGCGGTTCTGAGGCACCTTAGTGAAATTTGAGTTATTAGTCATACATTGTAACGCCATGACCAATTTTTTTATCGGGAGCTAGACTAATTAATGGTCATGTTGTTTTTGCAGTCTTAATGTCCTTTATTATTAATTATCAGTAATTGTGCCACGTGATTAGTCACTCGGTCAGGTGTTTGTGATGGACAAGGTCATGATGAGAATGATCTCACACCTCCACTCCCTCTTTCTTCAGTATCCTCGTCGTCTCACTCGATGACAACAACAACATTGACATACAGGTCATCACGTTCAAACAGACCACAACCACCTCCTTCCAAATCCTTTCCTGCTTACCATCACCGCTCATGATCGCTTTCTAGTCCCATCCAATCTTCTGAATATCAGTTTTCAGCAAACAATTCACTGTGAACCGAATGAGACATCGCTCTGGTAATTAGATGTCATTGGGATCCTTTGTTTTAATGTTACGTGTCGTTTCTGCGTCTCGTACAGTCCTGTTACTTCATGGATGCCGCTGAATGTTTGCTGCTCAGATTTTTATACCCTGTAAAGTTGAAACGTTGTCGTTAAATAACATGAATTAACACATACGGAAATAATTCCGAGCCTGCGGATTTGCTTGTTTCGGGAAATGGTGGTTTTGCTAAGCTAAAAAGTAGTTGCTAGTGTAGAAATTTGTGATGATCGGCAGAGCGACTTACGAAACCGCTGCTTGGTCCAGGAGAGCCCTACGTGTTTAAAAATGTTGCACTCAACCTCACCTCAGAATGAACTAGAATATCCGCATATGCGTCTATTCATTCTTCCGTTACGCTCCACCTGCCAAAATGAATGGCTTGCACGAGAAAGATATCGATTTTCGAGAGAGATGTGTGGAGCTATAGAAAGAAAGTTTTCTATAGTGAAAGATGTATGTAGATGTAGACTATACAAGGGAGACAGAAACATATCGCCATCTTCCGATGTACGATGAAATTAATAAGTTTACTATTTAACACAGAGACCTATTTATGAATGATTTATACATCGTGTAGGCTTTGCAACTTGTATATATCGAATCTTAGCCTATAAATATGTCACTTGGAACGAAATTCAAATTGCCTTGTCAACTGGATGATGGTACTTAGTCTCCTTCTTTTATTTCTGTTACGTACTGTGCCTACTTCTGATAAAATGCAGTTCTACCATTTAATGGGGTCCGTTGAATTCTGACTGCGCAAGAATTTATGTCGAGTTAATTCTCTCGATTCCCGAGGTTTGTGTATGTCAGTTTCTGATCGATGCTTACGAGAGAGGATGCTACAGCTCATAGTGCCCGACCATACTGTTTAAATTGCAAGGTCCAGTTGTGTAACAACTTACTCCTGGCAATAACAATAACAAAAAATTTACTGAACCCGTTTCTGTTTGATGGAGGTTTCAGCTGCATACATGCTTTATGCAGTTTCAACTGCTAGAATCGTTATACAAATGACGAATTAGTGGATTTTAAGACACTAGTTATGTTTTACTGAGGAAAATCGCCAAGGACAGCGAGGATAGCTACAAAATATGAAGCAGAAATGCCACTCGTTGTGTACTGCATGTGCTGAGTGAGCTCTAA